TGGGGAAGAGGAAACTTGACATTGATTATTTTTAAATTTTTGATTGTTAAATTCAATGTGGTATTTTAAAAATTTAACAATTTATTAAAAAATTCATTGTGGTAACATTATACCTTTGAACATATCTCTTCGAAAAATTTCGGGGGCTAATTTTATTTAACCCTAAAATTTAAGCTTAATTATGTACCAATATAATATATAAAAGAAAAATTATTATTGTAGTTTTTAGTTTTGACTTAATTATAACTTAATTTTTAAACTTTAATTTATATAACTCAGTTTTTATAGTTTTAATTCAATTGTAACTTGTCCCTAACATTTTCTCTCTTACATTCAGTCCTTATATTTTAATCACTTAACTATTGATCCCTATATTTTTAAAAAAAATAAAAGTATAAAGATTAAAAATTTTTAAACTTTTAATATTTTATAATTAAATATTAAAATTATAATATTTTAAATTTGAACTTTTACTATTTATAATATTAGTAATAAAATTATAAAGATTAGAATTATGTTAAAATTTATAACAAAAATTTTAAATTTTTAAACTCTTTCAATCTTTATAAATATTAAATACTAAAATTTTACCATTTTTTTATCTTTATATTTTTATTTTTTAAAAATATAAGGATCAATATTTAAGTGATTGAAATCGTAAAGACTATATTGCAAGAAAAAAATTTAAAGATTGAATTATAATTAAGTTAAAATTATAAAAATTAAATTATAATGAGTTAAAGTTTAAGAATTTATAATTATAAAAATTAAATGATTAATTTTTTTTGATATAAAATTATAAACAATTGGTTTATTTTTTTGAACACAGTTACATGAGGGAGGATCATTATCCTCATGCATGACACCCGAATATTGGCAAACAATTGCCTCAACAATAATGTAATTTATTTCAAATTGCATCAAGAGATAAAAATATATATCTGGAAAGTTTCCTCAAAGCAATCAATACCTTTAACTTTTAAAAGAAAAAAAAAAGTTACTTTAAAATTGTTAAAAGAAATGTTTTGAAAATTGGGTTGGATAATAAATTAGAAAGGTCAGCAGTTCATGATTCACATGGTTCAATCGAGTTGGATCAATAGTCAAATCGATGACTTAATAATTAAATTAAAAAATTATATATATATATATATATATATAATAATCTAAACATAAAAAATAAATATGAAATCGTTACTTAACTTAAAAATAAAACCAAATATTTTAATTTTATTATGACTTAACTAGTCATATGATGCAAGATAATATCAAATAATTAAAAAAAGTGATCATTTTCCAAAAAATTTTGATAAAAAAAAAAAAACTTAAACAGTTTAATTTTTAAAAATCAAATTCAGTTCCTGGGTTGATTTTAATTTTCAGTCCCACTATTAGTTTAAAGTGGCCCAACCTGATTCAACTCCTAAAATAGTCAGATCAATCTTGTTTGGTTTTTTAACTACTAATTAAAAGTGAAATAATTTCACCTCACCATTAAATTTAGGTAACATTGCCGTTAAAATAAAAGCTTGGCCGTTGAAATTGTCACCAGACATATATGTGTGTGTGTGTGTGTATTTTATCAGTGCACTGCCATGCGAACTCAAGTCCAACTAAATTGGTCCCCACACTCATTGGTTTTTCTCTGGCGAGCACGTCCTCCCGTTGTTGGTGATGCTTTTCTCCTGTGATGCTGCGTCTTCTCTCTCTTTGTGCCTCGTATTGAAAAATCACACACACTATTTTCCAATCTTGTCGCTTGAGAACACTAGAAAAGATACTTAACATGGATAGAACAAAGCTGAGAGAGAGAGAGAAACCAAGCTAAAATAAATACTCTCTTCATTAAAAATTTTTATTACAAAATGTAAGATATTTTTTAAAAAATAAATATTAAAAAATATATAATATTTTTAATCTTTTAAAATATAATTATTATTTTTTAAGTGTTTTTATTAATAATAATTTTATATTTATTGTAGAATATTTAATAAAATAAATATAAAAATAATGCTAGTTTAAAAATAAATAATTATTTTATTAAGATAAAATTTAATTAAAAATATTTTATAATTTTTAATAAAAAAAGTAATTAAGAAGCTTATGAGAATGGGATCAACAAATCCATTCAAGACCAAAACTTCTCTTTCACCTTCCCCAACCCTCTTCGTCTTCTCCGATCCACCACACCCCAATCTTCCTTCTCTCCTTCTATCTTCTTTTGCAGGTACTTGACGGATTCATTATCAGCTTGAGGTTGTGGGATTTTGCAGGTTTTTCCAGATCAGACTTTTACATGTTTTGTTTGCTTTTTGAATTTGCATAAGAACAAGAGCTTATTCGTCTTTCGGCTTCTTCCCAAGAATCTTTTTCCTTATTCTCATCTTCTAAGTTTAGTAGTTAACCTTGGTCACTGATCTGATGCTCATCCCTGATTTCGAGTTCACCATCTCCTTCAATTTGGTTTGCCATTCACGTGCTCATTCAAGTCGGTTCTGCATTTAAGCTCTTCTCCATTCACCATTCGCGACTCATTGCTTTTTTGTTTGTGAATGATTTCTCCATTCGAGTCTGATGGGTTTTGCAATTCATGCCTCTTCCAACTTCCAGCACCGAAAGTAAGCCGTTGAGCTGATCGACCGCCTCTCGAGGAACCTTTCCGTAGACATCGAAGGCGACAAGGAGAGAGAGAGAGCTTGAAGAGGAGTTCAGGGGTTGATGGTATTGGAGTAGGTTGGGAGGGAGGAATGCTGGAGATGTACAAGTAGATTGGGTTGGTGGTGTTTGATTAAAGTTGCCGGAGTTAACCCAGCAAAAGGAAGAGGTTGAGTTACCTGAAGTCTGAAGAGGAGTAGGCATTATCTCATGTGGCAAAGCCAAAGTGTTTGTCATCACATTCCGTTAGTCAATGTTAGAAAATAATTACATTGCTCCACTTTTAATATTTTTATAAAAATGTTGCTCTTTTTAAATGATAAAAATATTAGGTGTTTTTTTTAAAAAAAAAAATTTAAGATATTTTCATCACTTTAAACCTTTCAAATTTTGAGCCACAACAATGAGCTGCCAATCCTTATATGTGTGTGTACAATCTGAAATTTTGTTTTATTTTCTAACATTAATCTTTATGATCATTTTTCATTAAAGGTATAAGGTCCCGTAACTATTCCCCATTATCACCACGTTTAGAAGTTTTGGCTGGAAAGAAATGAACAGTATTAACAAAATGAGATATTTGGCCCAAAAAAAAAATTAACAAAATGAGATGGAATAAAATGTAATAAAAAATGAGATGGAAAAAAAGGGAATAAAATATTGCATTGTTATTGAAATTTTATCATAAAAACAATGTTATTTGATATTTATTGTAAAATAAATAGAATGAAACATATTATAACTTTTCCTTGTTAATATTATCCTTATGAGTTAATTTTGATAAAAAAATTTGAACAAATTATTATTGTTTTAGCTTTCTCATTCTACGTTAACATAGTAAGAATATCTTTAAAAACTAACGTAACAGTGCTTCATTACATAAATTGTTTTTAAAAAAATTGTCATGCTTCGTCTTGAAATGTGATGATGATCATTTTATCATTTATATCCAGTATGCATAATTGTTTAGTTAATTTATCCAATATATAACTATTTTTAAATATAATTTTAGAATCTTTTTATCTGATCACATTTTGATAAAGGATGATCAATGTGCATTGAAAAAATGTGGTTACAAGTATCAAAGTTTTCTATAATATTGATCTTTCATTGAAAAAAAAAAAATTAAACTTGATAAAACAAATTAAAGGTTCCTCTTATTAATAAATCACTGCACACAATAATGAACACCCACTCAATTAACAAAAGCAAAATTAAAAAATCCAATTTCCCTATCTCCCTATATCATATATAAAATAAGTTATGTATGAGTATATTAATGAACTAATGAGGGGAGATTAAAGATCTTGAAGTCTAATCAGCCATATATATTGAATTGCATATGTTAGCAAACTTGTCTGTTTTAATCATTTGTTGTTGCTTTGATCATTTGAAAAATATAGATAAGAAACATACCTCATTACCACATAGTGGAGAGAATCAGTGTTATTAAAATTGGATTGGGCCGATCAGTCAACCAGTTAAACTGAAGTTCAGTTCGATGATTGTAAAAAACTGGCAATTTTGAGAATTAGTTAAGAACCAGCCAAATCAACCTTGAACTGGACACATTATTTTTTATTCTTTTAATTCTTATTTCTAAATCATAATTTATATATATATATATATATATATTATACCTAATAAGCATTATAAAATGAAAAAAATGCAAGATATATAAGAATTATGTATATATGTATATATTTTAAATTTATAAATTATAAATTATGAAATAAATATATCTATTTTAGATGAAAATGATGTAATATTGATGTATATTATCTTTTTTATTGTATATTAGTTTGTTTAAAATTTAAACATACATTTTGTCACTATATATGATTATTTCTTTTTACTTTAAATATATAATATTTAAAATATATTAATTTATTCATGACTGGTTAGATTAGTTCAATGGCCAATTCGATTTTCATAACATTGGAAAGAATTGAAGGACATACTCAACAATGAAAGGAATATGGGATATGATTAAAAAAATGCATAATATATAGAAAAAATGACAATTAAGTCCAAAAATGTTATGTTATTGATAGTTGGATCCTCAACAAAAAATTTTAAAAAATAAGTTGTAAATAGAAATTTGCAAAATTTCAAATTGTTATAAATAGAAATTTATGTTATAATTTAAAGCATTTGATATTTAAATAAAGTTTTTTAATTGAAACTCTTGAATTTACAATTATCTAGATTGATAATTTTTAACTTATTTGCTAAAGATATTTTGTTGAGAATCTAATTATCATTAATTTAATGTTCCGAGACTTACCTGATTGTCACTCTCTCTAATATTTATAGTTATTTTAGGATGTGTTTAAAAGGGTTGATTTAGAGAGACGAAAAAATTGAAGTTGGGATTACTATAACTCAAGTCCACAGAACAAATTATGGGGAAGTTAAAAGAAAGGAGGCAAAAAATTGTATGAACAGTATATATATTCATACATGCTATCTACCAGCTTGGATAGGCCTGCTATTCATGCCACTATTAGAGGTTATGTTATATGAAGTTGAGGAAGTACTTGTAGATACAATTTCTAAGAAACCCAGACTCATTCTTCCACTACCTGAATCTGTCTGTCTTCTCCAATCTCCCATATCAGGCAGAGGGTCATCAAATTTAGGTACCTCATCACTTGCCTCGTGGTGGGCCTTGAATCTGCATTATGTTGAGCACAGAGAAGACCCAGTTTCAGAACCAACTCCACCTCTTCCTCAACATAAACTGATCCCAACTTTGGATCAACCACTTCAAGAATCTGACCCATATTGTGATTCTCCACAACCCAATCCACCAAAAAGAATTGTCCTGGCCCAACGGCTTTCCTCCCGCTGACAACTTCAAGAAGCACAACTCCATAAGCATAAACATCAGAGCTTGTGGATGCCTTTCCCGTGCGAGTCAATTCTGGTGCGATATACCCAATTGTCCCCACCACGTTGGTCGTGTGTGATGCTTCACCATGATCATATAGCCTAGCGAGGCCAAAATCGCCCAAACGAGCATTTAAATCTCCATCGATGAGAATATTACTGGTTTTGATATCTCTATGGACCACCACCTGCTCCCAATCTTCATGAAGATATAACAGCCCGTTAGCTTCGCCTTTGATGATGTTGAACCTTTGTTCCCAGTTCAAGAGAAGGCTTTGCTTGAAGAGGAGTGAGTCAAGGCTTCCGTTAGGGATATAGTCATAGATTAGAAGGAGATCATTCTTTTGCTTGCACCATCCTTGAAGATTGACTAAATTCTTGTGTCTTAATCTTCCTAAGCTTTCAATTTCTGCCGCAAATTCCCTCATTCCTTGGATTGGCCCTCGCATGATCCTCTTCACAGCAACTTCAGTTCCTGTGGAAGGCAAGACACCTTTGTACACAGAACCAAAGCCTCCAACTCCTATTAGCTCACTCTCCTTGAAATCTTTTGTTGCCGTACGGAGATCTCTGTATCTGAATCTGTGAGGACAATCTAGCTCCCAATCCTCGAGAGTTTCAAAATTGGTGTACCTCTTGTACAACGTTACAGAGCACAAAGAAAGCAATAATATCAAGGTTAAAGAAGACAAAACTCCTATGGCAAAGTTTACCCAAGGAAAAGAGGAAGGGTCTTTGACTTTTGATGGTGGGCGTGGAAGCTTGGAAAAGTCAAGCATGCGAGCAGGGGCATTGACTGCAAAGCTCCATCCCAGAATGTAATGAGAGCTTGCTTTGCTTGCCCCTGTTGATGCTGAGAAACCGGCGTACATGTCTTGGGTTATAACGGCGGTAAGGTTAAAATCGGCAGGTTTCGTTGATAAAAGTGGTGTGGAGGGTCTTGGCACTGACATCGGAGCTACAGTCACATTCACAATTTTGTTGTCACCATCATAATCTATCCAAGCTTGTACAGCATCAACTTCCTCGAAACTGAAATTTACCCTTTTAGAATCGTTCCCAACGTAAGCAGCTCGTTCAGAGACAAATGAGGTTGTGTCTTTAATATTGATCCCAACTTCGTTCGCTTCTGAGTCTGACTCTCCTTCTCCAGAGCCATTCACCTGTACAGGCAATTTCGTGTGAAACTAAATTTAAATATTTAGAAGATCAAAAGAGTAACTTAACTCAAACTTTAATTGAGCTATGTACACTACCGTATCAAATTCCACAGCAAATATGCCATTCGCATAGTTGGAATCGTTATAAATACCAAGATAGTGGCCGTCTCTAGCGTCTTCAAACATATCCTTGAATGGTGCTAGGACGAAAGCAAGGCCGAAGCCGCCGGGAGCAGAGGTTGAGGGGACAATGGAGAAAACGAAGTATGCGCTAAAGGAAGAAGCTTTCTGTCGCTGGTCTGATGAATTGTGAAGCATCTGAATGCTTCTGTTATGGAAAGCACGGCCTACAATATCGCGGGACATGTTGGTGAGCTGAAGCGTACGTTCAGTCGTAACTTGCGCAGCTTCTTGAAGAGTCAGATTCCCATTGTCATCGAATCCCTCATAGGAAAACTGGGTGTCTTCTTGAGCCGTGGCTGAAACAAGAAGGAGAAGAAGAAGATGGAGCAGAAAACCAAGTGTTAACGATGATGATGCAGCCATTGTTGTCGATTCTGGAAACACAAAAAGCTTACACAATGTGCTCAGATGTGAATCTCACGCTTTATATTGAAGAAGGGTGAGCGCCATGTGGGAAATATCTAACTGGGTCAAAGCCTCGAACACGTAATGGGGGGTCGTTAATTAAATGAAATGCAAGTCAAAGAGAAACAACAGTATATGGTGGTGACCACAGCAAGTCAATCATTCATAGATATAAACTAAAAGCATAAAGGAAGGAGGTGGAATAATATCCAAGAGAAGACAAAAGTGAGGAGTTTCATTGTCGAGGGACGTTAAGGAAGGAGTTGAAATGGCAAGGGAGAGTAAATAGAGAGAGATGCATCATGGCGCTATCAAAGTGCCGTGATGAATGAGGGGTTTGAATTTTCCAGGCTTCTAGGCTGTGAAAATTGAAAAGCCAGTCAGATGATCAGAAAGGTGATACGATCGAGCACAGAAGATGCATTAGGGGGCCCGGTATTAATTTGCTTCCCAGAAATTCAGGGACGTTTGATAATTATGCAATGGTCGAGAGGGCTTCATCTTCTTCTTCGATCACTTGAGACCGCCAGGCGGCCGTTTGCCAATTTGCAAGAGGTTTCCCGTTTCCTTCGAATTTGAATTTGGAGTGATATGACATGACTACCAGTGTAACAATTCCTGTTCTAATCAAGCAAGCTCTATGATTTTTAAATAACAAATAAATATTATCTAAAAAAAATACAACTCTATATTTTTATATTTTACTCAATTTTATTATTAATCTTTCTATTTTTTATGTATTTGGTTTCTGTATTTTTATTTTTTAATCATTTTAGGTGGAGGGGTCTAAAATAATAACAAAATAAAAGTATAGGGACTAAAAATATAAAAAAAATACAGGGATTAACAGCAAAACGTGAGCAAAGTACAGAGATCTCAAATTATATTTTTCTTATTATCTAAATATAGATAAATAATAAAACAGAATAACAACATAAAATAGTTATTTTGAAGTTTCTATAAACTTACATGATATTAATTCTTTTATGAAATAACCATAATACTTTCAAACATAAACGATAATTTTAAAATAGTAATTGAATTGAGTGGGAGAAGCTAGTCACTCACAACATATGGACTTCATGTTCAAATTCTTATTAAAGAAAATACCCACAATTAGTACCCGACTGAACAGAATAGTCGCTAGAGCCTTGAAATGGACAGACCAAGTTCATATGAATCTGGCCCTCATGGGCTCAAGATCATAATTCTGATTACTCTAAAATCAATCATTTTTTAAAGTATGGCCCTTATTTAAGAAGCTCAAAGTCTTGAATTGTTTAGAAATTAAAATTTTTTAAATATAATATCTAATTTTATTTTTTAAAATACAAATTATAATGTTAAAAATATAAAAATAAATACTAAAAATTTCAATTTTAAAATATAAGTATATATTTTAAAATTTAAATTCAGTTTAAAAATTAAAAATATTTTATTTTTCTGGGATAAAACAAAAACAGCCTAAATGGGTTGTTTGAGTTTTTTTTTTTTTAAGTTTATCACGACCACGTTTCAACTCTTAGTTTCCATAAAAAATGTCATGTTTTCTTAAAAGGATTAATATATAATTTAAACATCAATCTATAGATCTAAAACAATTTAAACCCTATATTTATAATTAATACATTTTGAATCTTTAACCATTAAAGTTAATTCATCCTTACGTACGCCCACCGTAAATTTGAAACTGAAGGTGTTAAATTAAACACAATGGGACCCACAATGTTCTCTATCTGCATCTCTGGCTGCCCACATTCTCTCCCTCCTCTCTCGCTCTAAGAAGTACGACAACGCAACATTTGATCCACCTTGCTGTCTTCGTCCCCTTACACCACCAACGTCACGTACCTCATCCCCAGTTCTTCTAGCCTCCTCTTCAGTCTTCCACTAGCTGCATGTCCATACACTGCCAACTCAGTTTCGATCCCCCCTAAGCTATATATATAATGCAAACCATTGTACTGGTCTTATGTATATTGGACTATTGGTTCATTGCAAGCTCGCCTGGAAGGAGATATGGTTATCCTTGGGGTTGATGGGCTGCAGCTCATTCATGCAAGCGTCAAATCGCTGGTGTCTGGATTCTCGATCAGGTGAGTCCCTATACCATAACTGTACAATGAAGATCAAAGGCATGGATTCATAGATAGACAGAGGATGCATATTATTGGTTTGAAAGAAGAGAAAGAGCGGTAGCTGACCAGCTGAGGGACGCTTAATGGGAACGAAGCCCAATACATCTTCATAGAACCTCACGGAGTCCCACACGAATCTGCATAGCAGAGACGTGTGATTCAGCGAGAGCAGGGGAAGTGCTTCGTGGCTGCCTACTTAATCTCCATTTCTCACTTCCGAGCTTGACGTGAATCCCATTGTTATAGTTGGTTCTTATGTATACTCCTTCCGTTCTTATATATTAAAACATTTTTTTAAAACTTTTTCGTCTTAAAAAAAAAGAGCTTGTTAGAATATTTTTGAATGAATGAGTCATTATATCTTTATTAAATTGAGAAGAGAAAAAAATAAGTATTTTTATTAATCTATTTTGAAAAAAGAAATTTATTTTTTATTTACAATAATTAAAAATAAAATTAAATGTTATTATGCTTTTATTTAAATAATTAAATTTTATTTGTTTGTGTGATTTATTTAAAAATATTTTATATATAAGGGTGGAGAGAGAATCAACCAAGATGGCAACCATCCCATCTTCCTACTTTAGCCGATTGAACACGCAGTTACTACTTTCCCCCAACATTCTTTTGATTCATGGGAACATAACATTGATGATGATGATGCGCTCTCCGCATCAGCACATAATGTAATAGTCGAATCAAGCTCCATTTTTCATGTTCCATACTTGTTTGTTCGCTTCTTCTGCTTCAGTAGTCTCAAAGCAGGGGAGGAGGGAGATGGAGAGAGAGGGTCGGGGGAGGGGGGAAGAAAGAGCCAAAAGCAGAACGTGGGTACATAGAAAATGTGAGCACCATGTTTAAAAATTAACATAACAATGGGATCAATAATGTATCAATTTTAATTGTTTACAATTCAAAATTTATTAATTATAAATATAGAGTTTTAATCGCCCTTAAATATATAGTTTAGGGTTCAAATCACATATTAATTCTTTTTAAAATTTAAATTGTCATAAAAATGAGTTTAAATGAGCGACCATCATGTCTGACTTTTATTTTCAGCTTTAATGACTTATAATAAGAGGATATCTTTAAGTAATAAAAAAACTTAACCACTTTCATCAAACAGGCAACTAAAATAGTGTAATAAATAACTGTTTTAATTTTTCAATTTCACTTCATACGAGTTGAGAAATAGAAGTGGTCATTTCTTGAACTATTTTGGTCACTCTCTTAATAAAAATAGTCATTTGCTACGTACTTTGAGGTTAACATTTATCTTTAGGAGTAATATGGGCATTTTGTCAAAAATTAATATCACATTAGCCTCTAGAGACTTTAAAATAATTACGTCATTTTGTGGTCCATTTTTATGGTTTGTCTATCTAGGTGGGATTTATTTGTCATTTTTATGATTTGACATGCATATCTAGCCAGATGAAAATAAATTAACTATCAAATTAGTTTAATTTTTATTAATATAATTCCTTATACTTTATTTTATTTTATTTTTAAAATGTCAAGCTCTATTTTTTTCTTACCTAAATAATTATGAGTATTTTCATTAATCTACAAGGTTATCATTAATATTTTGGTTATCATTAATATTTTGTTATCCATGTTAGAAAATTCTAACAGTGTAAGGTTATTCTTAAATAAGAAGGAATAAATCCAAAATTAAAGTAAATTTAAAAGACTAAACTAATAAAAAATTAAATTAATAATTGAGAAAAATTTCAAGGATTATAAGTTGTATTATTCCTTTAAATTAATACCAAAACTTATTCTATCTTAACGGCAAGTTATTAAGAGTAAAATAGTAATAAAAAGTATATACATTTTACAAGAAATTAATGATGGAATCATTTCTATTTTTTTAGCTATAATTAATTTTGTTTTAAATTTTGGCATAAAAATGGTGATGATAGTCCAATGATATACTCAAATATTTTATTTCTTTTCATTTGATTTCAAATATTTTTATTTCTTTGCATTTGATTTCTTCTTCTTATTTTCAGCCATTCACCTCCCCCCCCCCAGATGGGGAATTATCACATCACATTATGAGGGTTAAAGTCACTAATTTATTTTCAAAGAAAAATTACAACTATGTGAAATAAAATAGGCCAATTATTATCACCCCTTTTATAAAAACTAGGGGCAAGTTTAGTTTTTTCTCTTTTTTTTTGAAAACTAATTTTTAAAAATTATTTTCAAAAACAATAAAATGAAAATATGATTAATCATATTAATTTAAAAATAATTTTATAGTTAAGAAAATGGTCGATAGTGCTAGTTGTCAACACTTACTGATCATAGTCCATAATAATAGTTGATCATTGTGAAAGGTAATTTATAATAATAAAATGTAGTGTGCTTTAAAAATAAAAAATAAAAAAATTATAAATTTTTTTTTGGTTTTTTTAAAAAAAAGAAAAATTTTAAAAATATTTAAATCCAAAATACTTACAAAAAATTGTTATTTTTTATTTTTAAAAATATAAATTAGTTTTTAAAAACATAAATTAAAGAAAGAATGACAAATAAATTCTTTAGAAAAATAATAATTTGATCCTGTGAAATATAATAATGTCTTTTAAGTTTCAAAGGACTTAATTATGATTAAAGTTTTAATCAAATGAAAAAATACTTCTTAATTTAAAAAAGTGTAACAATTTTTTGTTCGTTCACAACTTTAGTTCAACAAATGACTCAAATTGTTTTAACATTTATAATTTTCTCTTACTATTTTTCTTCAATAAATAAATTGCCACTTTGAAATTCATAAACCTAGTTTAATAAAGGATTAAAATGGTCTAAGCATTCGTA